GAGGCGTTCACGGCGTCGACAATGTCCGGCAGATCCAAGACAACCTCATCACATTTGAGGCCAGCTGATGCAGAGGCCAATGCAGCCATTAATGAGGGCGAAGTAGAGTCTGAAGAGACGGGGATTAATGGCGACTCTGAGGCAGAAGAGGCAGACGAGGCAGACGACGAAGAGGAAAGTATGGAAGTGGTGCGTCTAGGCGGCAGAGGAGCCGAAGGCAAGAAGGCTGATGCGCCGATTCTCTCCCGATCCCCATTCACGCTGATCGCGACCGGATCTACCGAAATGATGACCTCTTCACCGACTCGTTGATCCGGTCTCGAGACTTGGTCTCCCGAAATCCGTCCGGCGTCGGTCAGTGACAAAACTGTGCTCAGAAGTTCCGGTGGCCCGACAAGTTGCGACTGAGGACTGACCTCCTGACGAGGCTCGGAGGTAGGAAGAGTCGTCAGCCGGTCGGGTTGGAAGAGGGCATCGTCCAAAAAGGCGAGTGAAGCCGAAGGCGAAGGTGAAGTCGAAGCCGAGGCCGAAGTGAGACAGTCGACACTGCGACCGACTAATTCGAGCCCGCCAGGGCTGTCCTCTAGTCGGAAACCACGAACACTGTCCCCGGCACAGGCCTCATCGGCCTCGGTTGTCACATCCGCCTCCGTGACCGGTTCGCCGTCTGAGATGCCGATCGCTCGGCCCATCGGAGCCAGGTCGTTTTCGCCCATCTCTGAGTTGGAACGATGATGATGGTGATGGTGATGGTGGTGATGATGATGGTGGTGGTGTAGGTGGGGGTGCGGATGGGGGTGGGAATGAGGGTGAGTATGAGGGTGAAGACAACCCCTGCCCTGCTTCGGCATTGCCGACAAGATCACCTCGGATAGGAGAAGATGTGATGCGCAGCCAAGCTCCTCGTTCAAAGAACTCGTCTCCGAGGTGCTGCCAGCACCGCCTGCGCTTCTGCTGGCCGGCTCGGTGGGGCCAACCTCGTGAGTCGAGTTGGCGCTGCCATCTGCTGTTTCCATGTCGGCTGGAGGATTGTGAATCAGCATCGTATCGGCTGCCGCCACGCCGGTGGTCAGAAGCAGAGTCAACTCTGCGGTGTTGACTACATCTGAAGTGAACCGAGACGGGAGCATTGGTGCTGGTGCCGGCGCTGGTGGTGCCGATTGCAGTGGCTGATTGGCTGGAAGACTGATGTCGGAGAAGGAGCTGGCCTTTGTGGAGGCCTCAAAAGGTGTGTCCTCGACAGCAAACGCCTGTAGACTGTCGCCGCTGAGGACGCTACCGAGACCACCATCAATGCCGGCGCGGATGGCCACATCTCTGCTACTACTACTAATGTTGTTGTTGCTGCTGCTGCTGCTGCTACTACTACTGTTACTGTTACTACTACTACTACTACTATCAGTAGTAGAAGTAGTGCTGTTGTTGTCGCTCGCACCGCTGGTAGTACTGCCGATTTGCAGACAGGCTGATGGACAAATCTCCAGCTCTTCTGCCATGTGGATGGCAGAGGCCAAACCGATGCCTTCGGAAGAGGAAGTGGCCACTTTCAGAGGCATCGCAGAGGCAATGCACTGCTGAAGAATGATGGAGGGACTACCGACCAAAGAGGAGGCGATATCGTCCTCCTCTTCCTCTAACTCTGCCTCGTCTTCCGTCTCGCCCAGACTGGGCGAATACTGTTGATGCTTGGCCGACATATGAGCATGTATGTGTGGATGGTGGTGTAGCTGATGCATGTGCTGAAGATGATGCAGATGATGATGATGATGAAGATGATGAAGATGATGCTGTTGCGACTCGGAGTGATCAGGCTCTGTGTGCTGTGTGTATGGTAAGACGAGAGAGTTCTGCTGTTGACGTTCGGCTTGACCATGATCTTGTCGTTTCATCGCCACATGCTGGTCCGAAGAAGTGTGCGCGAGAGCTTCACTCATCAATGAGATTGCATCTAACGGTGAGCCCTCTTCAGCAAAAGTGACGCCCACCTCTTCATCTTCTTGTACTAACAAAGAGTCGGAATGTGTGTGACCCGTCTCACAAGGCTCTGGAGCAGAAGAGAGTCCCGACAGAGATTTTTCAACACCACCTAGACTGGCACTGAAATCAATGCCGATATCATCATCATCCGCTTCGCCATCGACGTCGACATCGCCGCCATGGTCGCCGTCGCCAGAGCCGATTGGTTTGACGACAGTGGAGTAAACACTCTCGGGCGATGACTGTATCGGTGGCAAATGCTCTAGGTCCAACGAAGAGGTGCATGACGAAGCGCCTCGCGAGAACATCAATGGTGTCTGTCCAGCGGTTCCAGTGCCCGAAGAAGTTGTCTCCGACAGACGGACGCCTCGATGCGGCAGACCCAAAAGGGCAGATGATACCGACGGTGGGGGCGGGAAAAGGCCGGCCGACGATGCGCCTACGTCGTCACGGTTGGGGTCAGCCGAGGCTGGGTTCGGTCGACTGCGAGACACCGGGTCGGACGGCCTGACGTGACGAGGCGACAGAGTCGAGTCGTCTGGCTCGGGGTGCGCAGACGCGCCAGGGCAACCATGAGCACCGATTACGGCGACTGGTGAGTTGTGCTCAACACCCGGTGACATCAACGGAGGTGTGTCCTCGAGGGCGTAAACCAAAGGTCGGTCGAGTGAGGCGGATGGATGCGGTTGTCGTGACATACCGATACATCCACCGGTAGGCATGGCAACTGAGAATGAGTGGTCGTCGGAGGTAAGATGAGCAGATGAGTTGGAGAGGTCAGGTTGTGGCGAGCCAGTCGAGCCCATGGGATAGATGGGGGGCGGATCTTCAGTGAAGACGAGTTGTGACGAATCAGTGGAGAAGGTCGAGTTAACAACGACGTCTGTCGCCTCGTCCATCAACATCAACATGCTTTCGCGCCGATTCAACTGCGATCCCTCCACATCGAAACCGATAGTGTCAACCAACGCGGAATTACCACAACCTGACCCGCTATAGCCCTTGCGACGATGACAGGAGATGCGTGGCAACTCGCCTGTACAATCCTCCGATTCGCTGGATAAATGTACAGCAGGGCAGGTAGGACGACCGACCACATCCACCGCAACACCAACTGGAAATATTTCGTCCTCTTTTCTTGCTACCTGCGTCCCAGGAACAAAGTTGGCCACAGCAACTACACATTCAGAGTCGCTGCCTGACTGTGTAACCGAGTCTGCTTCTCTCCCTGATTCCTCCTCCTCATCCGCCTCTTCGTCATCATCGTCATCATCGTCGTCGTCATCGTCATCACCGTCGTCATCATCATCGTCATCGTCATCGTCTTCATTCTCATCCTCGTCCTCGTCATCCTCCATATCGTCTTGATCTGTTTCGAAAACGACCGAGAGGAGGCCAAAACGGGGCACACACGCCAGACCCGCACCTGACTCCGTCGAGGCAGAAGCAGAGGCGGCGGCCGCGGCTGCGGCCCTGCCGCTCATGCGTCGAAGGTAAACCAACTCGGCTGGTGACACAACCGGAGGCGACTGAAGGTCCTTCGAAGTCGATTCGACCGACGTCTGCAGACTGTCATTTGGTACCACGGGCAGATATTGTTGCTGTTGCCCGTGGCGTTGAGAGTGCGAGTAAAAAGTCGGATTCTGAGTTGACTCTAGTTGATGATTCTGTTGATGCGTTTGCTGTTGATAGAAGTGGTGCTGTGTTTCTGAATACTGTTGTTGCTGCTGTTGATGAGGATGTTGTCCAAAAGTGTGCGAGGGCTGCGCTACCCCAGTCTGATCCACCGGAGCAGAGCGGACAAAAGAGCCTGGTTGCACAACCACAGACTGAACTGTGGTGGGGGGATAGGCAAGACGACCGTCAGACTCGAGACCACCGTTCAGGCCGTCTGGAGTTGGTAGGAACGAACAGAGTCCGGGCTTGGCGTTGACCAGTGGTGAGGGGGCGGCGGATGCTCGGTTGCCGACGCCCACTGAGAGACCAACACCCGCGCTGACTGTCTGCGATGGTGGTGTCGGTTGCTGGGTGACCTGATAGAGCAGTGATCTTGCCAGGCTGGCAAGCATTTGGTGTCGAGTGGATTGGGTGAGCCGGCGCAAGAGGTCGGGCAGCCTGAGGTGACGCAGAAGCTGTAGGTCGGCTGAAGGACATGTGGCCGACGCGGTCAGGGTCCAGAGGAGGCCACACACATTCACGACAACCGTAGGGCTTAGGGAGTGGCGCAGATGGTCAGCCAACACCGGAAACAGTTGGTGACTGTGCAGAAGAGCTCTGATCAGGTAGGTAAAAGCAGACAGAGACAACAGCGAGATTAGCAACAAAACAACACTACCGAATAAACATCAATTTTAGTGTAAGATGAAGTAAACCGAGCCTCTGTACCATTTTGAAATGAAACACAAATAACCAGGCAAGTTGATATGATATAATTTCCAAGTCCGGACAATAATCGTCGCATTAAACTAAAGATAAAGGTATAATTAAAATTTGAAACTGAAATATGTCAAGACTAACTGGGCTTCCATGGCTAGTCTAGGATAGCATTATTGTGGAAACATTCATTTCGTGCTAAATTGTCCTATAAAGTTCAGGTTGATGCAATTAAACAGACATTCTCCCAGGATTCGAGTTAAATGGTCCACC